ATATAAATATATAGAATTTAAGATTTGACTTGTGAATTTATTTACCTTTTCGACACTGTAAAAAAATCCATAATCAGTTTTATTGTTAGTTTATTTCTGCACAGACTTCATGTTAAAACTGATTTTTTWAATTAGATTTTGGGCAGAAATCTTTGCTGTAGTTAAATTAGATTGTTGTTGTTTCTGTTTTGATTGTTGTCTTTGGATGAAATGTTTTTCAGTCATTTGTTAAATTAAATGTTTTTGTGTCTAAAAAACATTCAAATGGAGAAAAAAATAGAAAATCCTGCAGATGATTTGAGACTGAAGGTCCTTCAGGAGCTCCTGGACGAGGTTTTACAGGTGTTACAGGTTTACTGGATGAACTTAATGATGCTTTTTGGCTTCTTTATGTTTCTCTCAGTTCTCTCCATCTTTGTGGAAAATCTTAAAGGATCTGATTGTTTTTCTAGCTGGTTTAATAACCGATAAAACAGAGGTTCTCTACTGGATCCTTGGGTTTTTAAAAAGGTCTGATGAATCCAGAGATGCTAACGTAAACCTCTTTAAAACCTTTACAAAGATTTCAACAAAACATTTGAGCTTCGCCTCAGTTAGCTGCTGAATCTTCAACATTTTAGTGGTTTGAAAAGAATTTATTGTACAGAACTAGAACTGATGCTATCACTTCCAGGACAAATAGCTCCGCCCACTTTTGGGACCAAACAAAATATTGTGACAAGCTGTGAAAAATGGTTGAAAAGTTTGCAGTTTTCACAGTGGAAATAAATAAAATAATACCTTTTCTCTAACCAGACCGAGGTGATAAAAAGATTTATTTCTTCATATTTGTTACAGAGAAAGAAAATCAAATAAAATGTTTTTGATTTAATTCCTCATTTTATCAAAATAAAATTAAATAAACTTGTTATAGAAGTTATCAGTTCTACTTTGACTGAAGCTCGATTTCACATCAGGAATTCTATTCACTGCTTTAAAAAGATGAGGGGCTGTTTTCCACAAAAAGGGGCGGAGCACTACTGCCATCCCTAAACTGGGCGGAGTTTTGGACAGAGGCAATGTAACTGGATGTGGTTATGTCTGTTATTTTTGTGCTTTCACCCCAGGTTCTGGGATATTTTTGGGGGTGAAGTAGAAACTGATATTTTACAGATTGTTTCCAGAAATATGTAGCATACAGGCTAACTAGCATGYGGCTAACTACAGTAAAACTGTTGTTTTWCAACCACTCCCTCTTTAACTTTGAATTTTCCAACCAGTTGTTTTGTGAGAGTCGTGGTGTTACTGTATTTAAGGACATGTTGGTAAAGTTGGATATTTAGTTTTTGTTGTGGAGTTTTGACTTTATTTAGACTTTATTTTGTTTAGATTGATTTTCTTCTTCAGCCTTGAAGACGTTTTGTTTGATCTTGATGTTTATTGGCTGAACTCAGCTGTCAGACTGAAACAAAAGGGAACAACACAATCAGAGAAATCAAAAAGCTTCAGTTCCTCAGTTTGAATAWAAAACGTTTTATTTGCAATAACTTCTCTCGTCTGTCTGAAAATAAAAAAATGTTAGTGTTGAAGCAAATATTTATTTTTTAAACTTGAACGAGGATTTTCACGTCTTTAATGATTCTATTTTTGCACATTTGTACAAAACATGTTTGTTTGAAATGACTGACTTGTTGTATTTATTGTTTGGTTCAAATATCTGGATGTTTCCTTCCTGCTGTGTTCAGATGTTTGTGATAAACTCGTCACACACTCACGTCTTCTTTCCTTCTTTTTATAAGAGAAACTTTAAAAACTCATCAGTTAATGTTTTTAAAGCAGCTGTCGGTTTCATCTTGACAAATTTGAGGATCTTTTTTTTTTTGAAGTTTCCTTATTATAAAGATTTCGTTTTGATTTACTGTAAACTGTTTGAGTCACGACACAAAGGAAAAGTGTTGAAACTCCTTAAAGATGAAGGAACTGCAGAATTTAGACGAGTTTATTGAAACAATTATTTTCTTTGAAGGAAACTTAATGAATTTATTCCTCAGTTGTGTGTAAATCTCTAAAAACTGACCAAATTCATGCTAAAACTTTGTACGTATGAAATATTATATATTATAAGATTAACAGCTGAAGTCATCTGAATAAATAATGTTTTATCAAAAACAAAATAAAACAGGAGTAAGAATATAAAAATATACTTGTAGTTTTCTAAAAGCTCATTTTGCATCAGTTTCATTCAGAAAAACGGAATTAAAACAGAAAACTGCAGCTTTTACTTGTTGACATTTAGCCTGTTGGTTTGTCTGATTTAAAAGCTTTTAATTGTTTATAAGGTGCACGTAACTGAAAAACATTTAAACAAACAAAAAACT